AGGAACAATATGACTGCGTCGGACGACACAATTGATGTAGCATCGTCTACGTCAATCCTTGTGCGTTGACTTCCGACAACGACTTACGTCTACGATACTGTCGGAAACAATTGCGACAATCTTTGTGGCTAGAGGATCGGTCATGAATCTTTTCACCTAATGTGAACTCGTGAAAAGTGAAAAATGTAATTTTGAAAATATATGGAAATGTACACTTTTCACAAGTTTACATTGAAGGAAAGGATTTACGATCGCATTCAAGTACAAAACAATTCACTACTCATAGTTTCACATACTAAAAAAATATTAAAAATATTAAAAATATTAAATAATTGAGAAAATCCAGAGTTCTCATGTGAAAAGATTCATGATTGATGCCTTGGCCCTTGATGTACTTACGCAATCATATTGTTTCTGTGGATAAAAGACAGAACAGAGCAGAGTAAGAACAGCCATAGAATATATTAGTTACAGATGGCAATATGTACTATTGTCTCGGATCCAGTTCTCACTCGCTATGCACTCGATATCGTAAGCAACCACTCTATGGCTGATGGCTTCTGCACACAGGACGCGATAATGTTTGCCGCGCGGCGAAAGTTCGCGCGACAGCCAATCAATATGTTATTTTTCCGTAAGAGCTACAAGGTTATTATGGAAAGCAGCATATTGATTGGCTGTCGCGCGAACTTCCGCCGCGCGGCAAGCATTGGGTGCGTTCAGCGAACTCAACAGTTGCACAACAGTTGAGTAATTCGTCAATGTAATTGGTTTAGATTTAGGGATCTAACAGTAAGAACCAATAATCACTGATTGCTCACTGAGCGCTTTTTCCGCTGAACGCGCCCATTACCGCGTCTTGTGTGCAGGAGCCATGAGTTCTCACTGAGCGCGTCGCGTCGTTTGCCTGCGTCACGAGTTAACCAATCAAATCGTTCCATTAGAACAAGTGCGTCGCGCGTCGTGTCAACCCAATTAGATGATTTGATTGGTTAACTCGTGACGCAGGCAGACGACGCGATGCGTGTCGCCCTCAATGGGAACTTAGCCTAAGACTGAGTTAAGCCAATCAAATTGTCCCATTTTATTCAGTAAAGTTACGCGATAAAATGGAACGATTTGATTGATTTAACTCAGACGACGCGCGCGTGCCATGCTAAGTGGGAACGCACCCTAAAACCCGTATCAGACTATAGATTAGAATTGAGATTGAATTGAAAATTAGCCAATCAGAGCAAAATTCACTAATCTCAAGTTTGGTGAACTTTGCTCTGATTAGCCAATTTTCAATTTAATCTCAATCTTAATCCGTAGTCTGATACGGGCTTAAAGCCAAATCACACTAACGATTGGCGATAGATAATTGACGATTGAAGATTGGAACTTGATCAATTGAAACAAAGCAAGCCAAGGCTGAAGCTTGTTGATTCGTTAAAATCTAATCTTCAATCGTCAATCGTCAATTGCTAGTGTAATTTGGCCTTTAAAGGCCAATTATTTATCAAATGAAGTTTTAAGTTTATTAAATCAATGTTTAAGATAATCAAAGTAAAACGAAAGAAACAAGAAATTCTTATTTTATTTTATTCTTATTTTATTCATTATTTATTTATTTTTAATTCTTATTTTATTTTATTAAACTAAAAGAATGTCATTTTTTACTAACGGAGTTAAAACAAAAATATGATTTTATTTTTAATATATTTACATATGTATAATAAATTTAATATGTTTCTTAAACATATTAGATATAGAAATGGTAAGGAGAAAAAAGATGAGAAAAAGAAGAAATAATGACATCATAAAATTATTTCCTTCAATTATTATGTTTCTTTTAATAATTGGATTGGTAATTTATTAATTATTACTTAATTGTTACACATATATATGTTTAAATGCCTTATCTGCACCGACGTGCCAAGAACGTTACAAGTCCGTCGCTACGACGTTATTACGTCGTAGCGATATGCTCGCCACGTCCGGTGCTGTCAAGGTATATTTCGCTCGAAATGACCGATACGCGCCCATTAACGTTGGTCCCATTCACGCGCCCACTCCCGGGTTAAATCGACAATTCTTAGATTTTAACGACGTATTTGCATTTGCTT